TCTACCTTTCAGTCCGCTGAGGTTACTGGTTGCCCACCGGCACCACCAACCGTGGGCATTCCCACCTCCAGCTTGCCTTAAGAACCTGCGGGTTTGTCTGTAAATACCTTGCAACTACCCTCCCCAGCCCCGCCGCCCGGCCACATACCTATAAATAAAAGAAAGGGCAGGCCTGGCCGAGGCGCAGTGCCTACTTTGATGTGCGGTAATGGACTTCGCTTTTAATTTGGGGTTGTAACTTCCATCCCGACGTAAAACTGGGAGCTGTGGAAAAGCTGCATGCATAATCAAGGGTGAAAGCAAGGATGCGGCACGAGATGCGTCTGATGTTGGATGGGAGGGAAGATAGCCTTTAATCATTTTGTTTTCAAAGAAGCTTTAGAGAGCTCTTTGAAGATGAGGCTGTTTGAGAGCTGCTTCGGGAAAATCGGAGGCAGCGATACACGGCGCCCACCTTCTGCTCGTGTCCACCCGCCCCCTTGGTTAACCTGTGCGTGGGACGTACAGATGCCCACGCATGCGTCCCTGCCTTCAGCATGCGGCCCTCCAGGCTGGCACCCAGTAAACTTCTGCAAAGCTGAGCAGATCTCGTGCTGCCCGGAGAGGTGAGACCTTGATGGCTACAGCAGCAAGGAAAAACTGCCCCAGTGTCTTTTCATTTGAGGTAATCACGGGTCCTCAGCGTGCGGAGGCAGGCAAGTAAAGGCACCAGTGGCTAGAATAGGATGTCCAGCCTCCCTTTAATAATAATAGTATTTTTGCAATGAGAATGTTCTGTAAATCAAGTCTTACTATCCTTGAATGAAAGGGAATGATAATGAACGTCTGATCATACTTTATTTTAAGGAAAAGCATCGTGATGGAGAGGCGTGGAAGCTGTGCCTGTCCTGTAGCGCAGCATTTTGGGCGGGGAGAAGGCGAGAGTCGTGTGTCACCCACCCGCTGCAGTCAGGCCGTATGGTACCTACACAGGTGGCTTCTTTATGGGCTGGGATCCAGCACAGCAGGCTTGTTTGCCTGCATCTGAAGGCACTGAGGGGTTGAACATCATCTGAATATCCCAGGCTGGGCAGGGTGGGTGAGCTCTGCTCACCAGCCCTCAGTGTGTGCCAGTAGCGCCTGGCTTTATTTTGAGGACTGAGGTCAGGACGCTGTTTTGTTAAATGCATCACATACAAAATAAACATGCGGCTTCTTGCTCCAAAAATGTTACAGGCTGAGAGGAAGAGCCTTGGGGAACGGATGTGCCAGCAAGTCCTATTTTTACCAAGCAGCTTGGCCTTGGTAAAACAACAGCCAGGCCAGCAGGTGACCGCAGGCTGTTGGGACGTCAGTGGCGTGCGTTGCCCCCAGGCAATCACACTGAGCGTGGTATTACTGGTCTTGTCAGTGGTTTTGTACGTCTAGGTCTTCTCTCGTCTCGTTTGTAAAGTGTGTGTGCTGGTATTTGAGGTTATTTACAGATGCCACTGTGCCATGACAAAAAAAGCCTATGAAACAGCCAAAATGAATTAATTACTGCCCGCCGCCCTGGGTAAGGAACAAGCCCATGTCCATTGGCATTGCCTTGTTCTGGCTGGTGTAAGAGCACACTGAGAAGTGGACAAACAGCGAGACATCGGCACCCCTCCAAGTGACTCCGGGTGGAGGAGCTGGGCTCTGCCTCCGTACGTGGCACCGTCCCCACCCACCGCTTCACCCGGCCAGGTCCTCCTGTGCCCAGCCCACCTCCCTTCATTTAGTGAAGTTAAACCGCACAAAGATTTTTCACGTCTCGAGTTCTGGTCAGCTTATGGCCCTAACAAATGCACTTTCCAGTCCCTTCAGAAAAGGAAAAAGCAGCCCCAAATCCACATCTCCACAGTTGCTGCTGTGGTTGGGGTCAAGTTCTGCAGATGTTTTCTGTAGGCTCTCCATTCCTGTACATACAACCCCAAGTCCTATTATTTTCAGACTGTGTGCCCATACCAGCATGTTGAAGGTTAAATCTGAAAGGCCCAAAGAGGTCTAATGTTTGGTGGGACCTGCCCTCTGTGCATTAAAACCAAAATCACTTTCCCCTTTCTGCCCTCTTGTCTGCAGCAGGTACTTAAAAACTGGCCTCATTTTTGGAGGTGTGAAGGCTTTATGACAGGCACTGCAGCTGGGGATGCAGCTAATGACACCTCGCAAACGCAGGCTGCTTAGGGATTAAATGTGGTGTTGCATGGTAAAAGCACAGCAAATAACTTTGGGAAGTTTAGAGATAGTGTGTCAGACTCCTATTTTCACTTCTAAGCGATGCGATGCTATTTTAGGCCAGGCCAAGCCTTGCCTTTTTTTAATTAGGTTTATTGCTATAGCTACATGGTGGTGTGTATGTGTTAACATTTGATTTTTGTATCTAATGTAAGTGACTGAAATAAACAATCCAGATCTGATAGTCCCAGTGGGGGGACTGACATTTGGATTTGGCTCAAAATCTATGCTTTTGACAGTTGCTAGACTCCAACACCTCACTCAGAAAGCACAAAGCACGGCAGGGGGGGGCGGGGGTGGGCTGCAGGGTAGAGCTACGTTTGCCACCTCCAACCTAATCGTCAACTCACGCTGGAGTGCTCCTTGGAGGTGATCGCTACGTCGGGTTTGGCTGATGGAGAGATCTGAAGAGGGGTGTTCTAATGCCACTTAGGTATCAGCTTAATTAAAAGAGCTTGCAACGTCTCCCTAGAAGGGATCTTGTGCCACCAAATCTGTACAGCCCAGCGCTGCTGTGCCTGGTTTCCCCTCCATGTCACACCATGCCTGCTGAGCCTGTGCGTGGGAGACAAAACCAGCATGGACTGGGACAAAGAGGAGTATTTTACAGTGGGTTTGAGCATGGAAGTGTCCCTGTGGTCCAGCAGGCCATGATCACGCCTGCTCGCTACGTCTCTGCTGCTCACTCCTACCCTGAACGCTCACTCTCCTAATTCGAGAACAAGCCTTGATGATTGGAGAGCTGGGGGCGAGGGCTGAGGAGCAGGGAGCGGCTGGAAGGGCTGAGGAGCAGGGATCGGCTGTACAGCTCCCCTCGCTGTTTCCCTTGCCCCCGCCCACGACTCTGCGAAGCAGGTGGTCCCTGCAGGGCCGGCAGCCCAGCGCCGGAGAGCTGCCGTGTGCCGCCGTCGGCCCCGCTGCCTGCAAAAGCACCGCACTCCCACTCCAATCAATCAGCACAGACCAGGTGCCTGGAAGCATCTCTTGCCAATTGCCTTTTATTACCTTTAAAAAGCCAAGAAACCCAGAACAAGACAAAAACTGAGACCGTGTGAACATCATGCAATGGATTCACTTCAAAGCAGGCTGGGGTGGGGGGGGGTGACAACCAAAAGCCGTGTTAGAGTAGAAGTATTGCTTCACCCGTGCCTGAAGGCCAGATCGGGTGGACTGTCACTGGTGGGGTTGGTGGCGACCGTGGCGAGTGATCAGACCGATGCTGAAGCAGGAAATGGAAACACGCTCATGAGCCATCATCCCGGGGAACCCCAGATCTGATTCGGACCCAAACGCAATTTCTTACGTGGTGGTGAGAGTGAGAAATACTCTTGTCATGGGTACTTTCTGCCTAGCTAAAGCCTCTTTGGAAAGGAGCAGCACAATGAATACTGGTACAAGGGTTTTTTTAGTTAAATTCTGTTACTTAGTGTGACTAGTACTCCAGCAGTCAATTAGTGGAGTGGATGTTATCCAGCAGGAGTGAAGTTACTGCACTCTGCCCTTCAGTCTCACTCGTTTGTCTTCAAAATTCGTAGCACAGACTAGAGTAATATTAGCTTCTCAAAAGAATGTGTTTTGGAGAGTTTCAGCTACCATGGAAATAACTTTGCATCTTGTCCATCATGTGGATGTGACAAAACACATGCCCTTATTTTCCTGAGGTATAGGCAACATTTGAGTTCATTACATTTAATGGAGTAGGGTCACCCATAAAGTTATTCATAAGGTATTTTCTGAGTGGTTTTCACCTTCTCTTTGAAAAAATAAATTATATCAGCATGTTCACGAGGTACAAATGGTGCTGGCATTTCAGCTGTTATTATGTTATTAACTTTTTTAACCTAATAATTTTCAATCAACAGTAAGAAGCAATTTTCACTCACTCCAGTGACCAGAGTTGGAGATTTTGCAAAGCGTCCTTGTAGGGTTCACCTTGACAGACACCTAATTCCCTCCTAAATCGAAACATTACCCCCGACACTCCCATTGCGGTTACCGAGAATTTCCATTTCCCCTTCGGTTAGGATTTAATTTAGAAGGCAAAGACTTCCTAAGCTATGGGAGAGTAAAGATAGATGGTATGGGAGAAGAAGACTGATGAAATGTAGTTGACTCCGGATCTGAAATATTTTATCCCTCCTCAATGTAGGTTAAATTATTCTTCACCTTTCCCACATCCATAATTGTCGCTGATCTTGGACCAACTCAAAACCCTACTACTGAGTTCAGTAGACTCAAAATTGCCACTAGAACTGGAAAAAGAAAAAAAAAAAAGAAGAGATTTGTTAGTGTCCATATACAATATCCCAAGACTATACACAGCTATGAGATACAGCAAATTTAAGAAAGGCAATTTTTTTCTCATCACTGAGTATTTATTATATATAACAAATACATGAAAAAGAAAAAACTATATTGTGTGATATAAATAGTTTATTTACATTACAGAAAAACATCAAGACAATGTATACTATTTCAAATATATCCATACATAATCAAATATAGCTGTAGTACATGTTCTCATTGGTGTAGATTACCACAAATGCAAGGCAACATGTGTAGATCTTGTCTTAATCTTTTGTCTATAATACTGTATTTTGTAGTCCAAACTCTCTGCAGTTAGTTTTGCCATTGTGGAAACATGCGCTCTTTAAATTAACCTTGTCGATGCTCTTGTTGTGTTGTCTGAACTGTAGTGCCCTGTGTTTTGCTTCTGTCTGTGGATTCTGTTGCTCCTGGGACATTTCCTGGAAAAGAGAGTTGTGAGAATACATGGCTCTTAACAACGCATCTGCTCGAGAGGCGGCGTGGGCAGCAGTGGACGTGAGGGCGGGAGAGGGATCCTCTGGCCCTCCGCATGTTTCCTCCTCAACGAAATGAAATGGGCTGGCTAATGGCAACGGTACCACAAAAAAACCCCAACCACAAAACCCACAAAATATAGTGTAAACAAAAATACGGCAAGGGAAATTTTAAGATTCCTGCTCCTTACTGGTAAGCAGTGGTGACCTTGCTGCGTTGCGACAGCCCCAACTGCACCCCATCTCTCATCTTCAAGTAACGGATTTATTTTCAGCAAGGTGCAGGTGGAAGATTTAGGATGGCCTCACGCTCACCTGCTCAGCGTCCCAGGTCTGTGAAGTATTTACAAAGTGGATGTGGCGGTGCCTTTCTGAGGAGCTAAGCATCTGCAATCCCTGTGAGTCTCCATGGAAATGCTCCATGCTCAGGTCATCAGCAAGCAGCTACTTTACTTACGGGTGCCTGCACCGTGCTATACTCTTCACACGGCTGCTTGGCTTAGTGCGGAAAGCACTTGCACTGGAAAGACCAAAATCTTATTTTCCTTTGGATGGTTGCAAAAGCAAATCTATTCTGCCTCAGGACCTCACAGTGCTCCTCAGCAAGTGCACGTTTCAACCTTTTACCTGCAAGCAGCATTGGCTATGGGAGCTGCTGCGAAGCATTTCCTGCTAATGGAAATATAATAGTGTGTTTCTGGTTTCCTCCCATGGAAAGGCACCCTTAGACAGAAAGCAGGGAAGAAGTTTAGCCCCAGGGGGTGTCTGCGGGAAGTTCTAAGTGGCTGAAAGCCAAGGGGGTTACAGCAGAAATTGTTGGGCAAGCAGAACCACAGCAGGGTGACCAACACCCTCTAAAAATGCTCACACTTTTTGCATTTGTTGTACCAGTCGGAAAATGGTGAACTACAGACAAACAACCAGCAATAAAAATGGTCCTTTACCCAGGGTGACCTAGTTAACATTTTGCACAGGAGGAGGAAGAAGCTATTCCTAATTTGGCCATGCGTTTGTCCTTTTTCTTCACCTGAAGCCCCAGTACGAGTTTTTAGCCTGGGTGCGCCTCTTTCTGCTCTCTGCCTGGGCAGCTACACAAGAAAGACTGAAATACCCGCTTGGAGTGGTACAACAGAAAGCCCCACGATACTCCAGACCATACTCACATGGAAAAAAAAAAAACAAAAAAATCCCTTTGTATTGGGCTAACTTGTTTTTCTGTTACAGCAAGGTGTTCAGTGGCACCTTGTGAAACCCTATGGATTATGCACCGGGGAGAGCCCACCCTCTCAGTGCAGTGAGAGCTCAAAGCACTTGCTTTCGGCTCTGTGTCAAATAACTAACAGCAAAATAGAGTGAAATAAATTTTTACTGACCCCTTAAAATCAAAAAGGCCATTTTTTTTTTTCCCTATTGAATGGGAGTGATGCCTATAGTTTTGTGACGCCAACTGTAAGGCTAAACAAGAACAAGAGCGGAAGGATTTATGAAGCATTTCAAAATGCTGAAATACAATTATATAAGTGTCTAACAAAATATGGGGCAGATTGTCCTGGCTTGCCTCACTTTTAAGCCGACAGGACCACCCCCTCATGAGAAACTGTATGGCTGTGTGCTATATTTTGCCTTGTTCCTTTCTTGGAAGCAGTAAAGTAGGCTGCTATCATTACTCCAGGAAAAATAAGCCTGCATCTCCAGTGCTCTCAGAGGTCATGGCAGAGCTTTCATTATGAAACTAATGCAGACCTTAGCTGGTTTGCGATTTCATGACAAACTCATTCTTCACTGCGTGTTCCTAAAAAGGCGATCAAACTTTCTGAGTGAGTCAGGGAGCCCTTGTTAGCAAACACAGGGCTGATTCATTGAGCTGCATGTCATGTGCACGCTGACAGCCTTCCAGCCCCGACCGTCCCCAGGCGTCCTCTCCTGCCCGTTCAGCCGGAGATTGCACAGCAGGACCTTGCAGTGCTCCACGGGAGACAGCACCGACACCTCGACACGCTGAGAGACAGCACTGCTAAATCCTGCTGCAGTGGCCAGCAGCCACACGGGCTGACCAAGCTGCCAGGGATTCCTCCCGAATCCCAGAGCATGAGGATTTACACCAGAAGGCGCAGCCCTGCTTTGCCCCAGTGCTCAGCCATGCGAAGCAGGGTTGGGGAACCAGGCGTGGGAAGCCACAGTGGGCACAGCTGGACTGCATTTTGTAAGAAACATGGAGGTACCAGGTGGCTGGGGGATGACCAGGATGGTCAGCAATCCCAGGGGATGCAGCTGTTCATTCCCAGAGAATGGTGGATACTGACTGCTCCGGCCAGAAGCAAGGAGATGAGCATCTCACAGGCACTTTCCCAAAACTGACACTGACAGTATCTATATGGTCACTTAGTCCGAGGTTGAGAGAAATCAATTCAAATGCAGAGCTTACACCAATTAAGGTGATGATAAAGCATATTTTAACCAAAAATGCCCATGTTTTAATTGCATAATACACTACGCTACCAATTGATGGAAGCCGGGGAAGGCCCCAGGGCCAAGTACTGACACCATGACTGCTTAAATGCAATGCTATTGCATTTACAGGTAGGGGTGTCTGAAGTGCATCTGGGTTTCCTAAGAGGGGCGTTGGCATTTAACCAGCTTTTTAGACTTAATCATCTGCTAAAATTGAGTGACAGTTTTTCCTTGGTCCTTAACTCTTTCATTGGAAGTTCTTTGTTGTGCTCTGCGTGGGGGATGCTTTCATTTGTGAACACAGCAGTTTTATCAATGTAAACTAGGTACCGGAGCACAGGCTGCCTGCCCTCCCTCCATTGAAGCTTGCTCGCAAGCTTGAGTTACTCACAATGTGATTCATAGCAGGTAAAACACATTATGCATTCATTTTTAATCAAGTTATTTCTTCACATAAATAACACTGCTGTGACTAAACATTAGGGAAGCACTAAAAATGCAAAGCTGTAAAGAAAACTGCTGAGAATCATTATGACACTAGGCTATACTTATATTATTTACCATCCTCCTTCACTTTTATCATTGCTTCTCTTTTGCCTTACCTCTGAGCTAAAAGTCCTCGGGTGTAGGGATTGTGCCTTGCTGCTCTACCTCCTTCCCTCCATACCTCTGGGCCTCTGGTCCCCTACTCCTCCACCCCAGCTGCTTATACCCATGGCTGGCACTAGCGATGAGTAGCCAGGAGGCCAACCTCGTCAAGGAATCGAGCTGCTTAAAAACAAATAATCAGTCCTGCTGATGGAGTTTTCAGCTGAATCCATCCCCTGACCGGCTGTTGTGTGGCTACACAAATGCTAATGGTGGCACAAGAGCACTAGCAGGACCAAGTGCCCAGGAGCCAGGGGAGGGGGCAAGGGCAGACCGCCCCTGTCAGCAGCACAGCTCATTTATCCAGATTAAAGTGTCTGTGCAACAATGGCCCTAAATGTGCCTGGGAACAGAGCCTTCCAGCAATGGAGGACACCCCGTAGCTTTGCACCACTGTACAGGTATGATTTTAAGAGCAACAACAGTAACGACAGCTAAAAGATTTACAATGGTAGTCTTATGCAGCTCAAATACAGGGTTTGGACACAGTGCACCAAACTAATTTGATAAATTAATTAGGTGAAGCTGCACTGAAATGAGCAGCAAACAATTTGGCCGCAGCAGCCTCTGAGTGAGTGAAGTTTCCCTTCTTTTTCCCAGGAACCTGGTAGGGTGGTTTTAGCACTTTCAAGAGTTCAGGGTGTGGAGTTCAAACCAGTACAGTCAGGTTCTCCCAAGCAGATGACTTCAAAAACTCAATTACTTATGCATATGCTGCCACAACACTCTCTTGTCATGTGGATTTCTCTTAGGCCACTTAAGAGTACACTTTTGCAAATGTATCTCGAATCATTATGCTGGGATGGAGAATGCTCTGCAGTAATTACATGCATTACAGAAAAAAGTCAAAAGATCATAAATTAACTTGGTTACAAAGTGTGCAGGAAAAGGTACCATCTATGTATGAAAACAGTGTGATGGGTAATTTGCATTACAGTACCAGATTGCTCAGAGCACACTGTCTTCATTCTTCAATATAAAGTACTCCGCATTACTGCATCAAGGTGACAAAACTAGAGTCACTCGACAAAATGATACAGAGCATTTGTTCCATTATCCATTACTACACCACCTTCTTTTTCTTACTACACACTACATTTTTGGTTGTTTGAATTACTTCTGTGAATATCACCACAATATAATCTATTGCCTCATTCAGCATTTACTGTGGAGTTGAGGGACTCAGCCCGGCCAAAAAGGTAGCTACGTTTCATCAGACAGTTTTGTTTTATGCCCTTAGGCCAGAGAAGGACAGGATTTTTTTTTTTGGTGTCTTTTCTAGAAACAAATGTTACACTTGTCTTCCAGCCAGGTAGTGCAACATAGGGATTAAGATATATTAGAGATTTTATTTTCTACAGAGGCATGATACCTGGTTTTATTCTTTTGTCTTTTTAAAATAAATTTATTTCTAAAAGAGTGATTTATCAGTGCTGCTAGCTAAGTTCTGAACTTACCCCAAACCCTCCCAGAGACAGTAACACAGTTCAGTGGGGAAACAGAGCAGCAGGAGTAGGAGGGGAAGGATTGTATTTACCCCTCTTGTTCTGAACCACTCTGGGGCCGCCGTTTCCATTCAAACAAACCCTTCCTCCTCATTAAAGAAAAAATAAATCATATATGGCTTGGTGTACCACCATCTAGTGAAGACCTTAAAACATGTGCACTACCTTTGAACATGTATACAAGCCTAATGAAATCATTTAATCAATGGTATTGCAAACAGGCTTAAAAGTTTGTATGCTTTACCTGATTAGGACTAAGGGAATGGGCCCTTGAGGAAACCAGATAGAGGTATGATTAGTTTTATTAAGTGTTGATCCAACTGCTGTATTTATATTCTCCTTATTTATATGAACAATATTTGTCCAAGCATCTGAATACAAAAGAGGAAACTTCATTTGCTGTAGGCACCTACCTAAGTTTGATTAAGATGGAAGGAAAAATTCAGTTATAATAATAAAGCAACACTGGCTGGCTGGACCACACAATATCTTCTGATTGTTGGTGAATTAAATAGCATTTGTTATCAGTAGTGTCACTGCAGAAATCTGTATAATCAGTGCACAAAGTAGGAAAAACCAAAGTCCCTTCTTTTTCTATTGCAAAATATCAGAGATACTGACCTTGTAATACAGAGGACTACAACACAGATGATAGCAATCTGGATGGTTCCAATCACAGCTGCTATTAAGACATACTGAAATCGTACTGGACCTGGAACCACATATAAAACGCTGTAGTCCTTTTTTTCACAGTGTTGTCCAGTATAGCCGGCATCACATCTGAAACGAAAAATATTTCTTCCAGTTATACCTGCTGCTTTTGAAGAATGCTGAAACAAATTATGTCTGAAAAAAAAATAGTATCAGTCACTTAAACACATGCTTCTGTGGGTTTTTTTGCAGGATGGGTGCCCCAGAGAGAGCACCGGTGCCTCCTCGGACCTCTCAGAGGGAAGGTTTCAGGTCCTCAGCATCACCGAGGTCTGCGAGAATGAACGACACTGCAATAGTGCCAGGAGGTGCTCAGGGGACAAGGACTTGTCTAGCATCAAGTGGAACTACTTGCATGTGGTGAAGAGAATCCATTTAGTTCCTTGCACAACATATTTTAGATTTCTCCCCTTCTTTGGGGAGGTGGGGGAGGGTGAAAAGCCATCTAGTTGTGGCTCCTTATGCAGATTACCCCTAAGGAAGTGATAAGCAATCATCCAAGCTCCATATGAAATGTGATTAGATGTTCCTGCAAGTGGATACATCATTTACATTTTGTCTGGTTGCTATAAAAAAACCCCTCTGTTGATGCTGCAACCATCCACCCCAATGCCGCCTGCTGTGCCGTTCACCAGTTCCCATCTTGCAGCCTGACATCTCCCCTCTGTGATTTTGGGGAGCAGACGGTGTTTTTCCCATGATAGCTCTTGCCCTCTTTCCCCTAAAAAGCCCAAGCAGGAAGATGCGAAAATCCAGGTCAATGGCAGCAGCAACCATAAGAGGCTAAGCCAGACTGCTTGGGCTCCTCTCAGAAGTGTTAGTGGGGCACTGACAGACCTGATGGGTTAAGCCTTGAGCTTCTGCCCTTTTCTTCTCCTGCATTCCCACAGCAGCCAGCAGCTCCTGCTGAATGGAGAACCTGGAGCTGCAGCAGCTGCAAAGAGCAAAATGTGCCCTTGGTGTTTGCGGGAGCTGGGAGAAGCTGGCGTGAAGATCTGCACTGGGCAATGAGCCTGGTCTGTATCTTTGCTCTCCCAGTCCAATGTCCCAGGAAAATGCCCCTTCGTGCATAATAGCCGTTTTCTTTGCCACCAGGCTGCCGGATGGACTCCAGAAGTAATATCCCCACCTCTGCAGGGAGGCATTCGCTGCAGAAACACATGCTTTCACCTGTACTCCTCCCTGCCCTAACCTCCTCCAAAGCCACCTCCTGCATGAAGGAGCCACCTTCGCCCCAGCGTGCTGCCCCACGAGCATCACTCCTGCTACAGTGGGGACATATCCCTGGTGGCACTCCTCTCCTTCAGACTGAGGAGGCTACCTAGTGGCTGGCTGAGCACTTTGTGAAGTGCTTTTTAAATATATCTAAATATAACTGAGGGTTACTGAATGTTTTTACAATCAATTAACATTGTGCATAACTCAATACACTTTTGCCACATAAAACGGGGACTTTGTTGAATAATTAAAGTCTAATGGGTTTTGTAGTATAAAGGGCCATGGTTACCATTATTTTCCATAGTTTATCTAGATTAAGTGGCTTTGTAAGTCAATATTTTCATGTGCGTAGCCTTTCATACTTGGTAGGAGAAGGGTTACCTGCAAGACGGTTCCAGCATGTTAGTGGAGTGCTCACACTTGCCGTGCATGCAGAAGCCATTGTAATGCTCTGGACAAGGGATGTAGATCCCTCTTGCACTTTCTTCCAGTTTATTTGCATTCTCTGTGAACACAGGTGAAGGGAACATTAACCTGACCACGCAGGAAAAGGTAAAACGATGGAAAGAACTCAATGTATAAAAAGAAAGGAAAATCAGAAGAACAAGATGTGAAAGATCTTGTTTATAGGCAGCAAGAGCAAGGGTTTGCAGATCTAATTCCTGTCAAGTTACAGCAAATGAGACACCAGAAAAAATAATTGACTATTCAAAAACTGATTACAGAACAGCACATGAAAAATGCCTAATCATTTCTGTCATCCTCTACAGGCTGTCTCCTCACACCCAGGCAAGGCTAGGAGGAAGACTCAGGACATTTGCCTGTTTGGTCATTCAATACAACATATTGAGAAAGATAATTTTATGGCTGAAGTAGAGGAGCTGGAGTCCAGAGCTAAAGTTTCTCATCAGTGCTGCACGCCCATGCCCCAGAGCCTGCTGACCTCCTCCCCACCCCACAGCACGGGCACCTTTAAACTAGTTTGACTTTCTGTGACTACTTCTGCAGCTGTTAAATAGTCACTGAGACTGCAAATCCTGGAAAACGCTTCCTTCCACATAGCCAGGAAAATGGAGGCTTCATTTAGTTTTCAAACAGGTATGTGCTCAACACTTACAACGTGGGCTGAAATGAAGAGTGTTACTTGCAATAAACTCACATGAATTTTGTAGGCCACCAAGGTGTTAATTAATCTGGGTAATTTTGGTAAATTCTTCCATTTAACCAATACTTATGATATCTCAAATGGTAAAAATCTTTTCTCTGTGATAGTATCATCTAGGCACAATTAATTAAAAAACAGAAGGAAAAGATCTCATGATAGATGTCTGAGGAAATGTAGTTTGCACACAAATAAATTGAAGCATTTGTATCTTCCAAAGGAAGTCCCCCAGTGTTATGAAACAATTGCAATTTGTGTTCTGCCTCCAAGCCAGTCACGCCAGCAGTAGGTATGCTTGGGTATTATCCCACCTTTGAGAAGAGCGTGTGCAGCAGGTCCAAGATTCAGATTTTCATAATGAATTTCTTTCCTATCACGGCTGTCCAAGGGGAGTTTTAAGAGTCTCTGACAACTTGCACTAATAAAGTTGGTTATATTGTCCTTATGTTAAAACAGGCAAGGACAAGCTCCCAGCAAATGAGAATGACAGGGAACCTCTGCATCCCTGTAGACAGCACTAACTTTGCTTTTGTCATTAGGACTTTCAGGACCTCTGCACTATGGACCATTATTGCATCTTTTTAAATGCACATATGTTGAACACAAACCTGTCTGCCTCTCTTGGTTCCCTGCTTACATGGGGATATCTGTGCGAGGCTGCCATGAAGGCTGTTAATGCCAACGCAGCACAGAAGTGGGCTTCACGGTGCAGTGATGATTCCTGGGCTTGGGACTGACAGCTGTCTCTGGGATGGCACAGACAGGACAGGATGACAGGAGGCAAGCTATAGGCATGGCATAACCTCCTTCCAGAGCTTGCCCAGGAATTTCTGCTATTTGAAAGAGGTGGGAGTAGAAGGTCCATTTGGTCTGGCACTAAACATTCTTGGCTACCTATCACCCTCTAGGTGAGGTACTGGCTACCAGCATGTGAAACATATACATATAGAGAGTTATTATTCCACCAGGATTTCATGTATGCTCCTTTCTTCCACCTGGAAATCTTCCTGGAACAGAAAAAATGTGTGCGACATATGCCAACTATCAACGGACTTGCCCAGCGCACACAGGTCGATCCTGATGTGCTCGGGACTTGTTGGATTCCATGCGTATATAATGATCATCTGTGCACCATGCCCAATGGCTTCTGGGTGTGCTGGACCTCTGCTATGGTCCACATTCAAATATAGGTCTGTCCTGAAAACTGCAGCAAGAAATATAGGATCCTTATTGATACACATTTTTTCTATTGTGGAAAACATTATGCTCTTTCCTTCAAATCTTCCGTTAGTGAGAGTTTGCTCCCTTTCTGAACAACAGGAGACTGCTCTGTGTGTGCGTGTGCTTGTGCGTGTAACTCCAGTCCTTCCTCCTCAGGTACCAAGACATCTCTGTCACGTCCATGCGCCACCATGGGTAGGATACCATTTGGTTTCTTTTTTTTTAAAGGCACGCTTCAAGATGGTGAGGGAAATTGTTACTTTCAGGGCAGACTAATCCGCTAGGACTTGAAAGGGTGACAAGGACCTCTCCCAGACTTGTAGATGCTCTCACTGTGTGTCGGCTGTAGGGCTGGTAAAAAAAGGAATGATTTCTCCTCCTCCTGCAATCATGCGGGTAGAAATCATGTTTTCTTTAAAAAGGTCTCTAGCAAACTTTGAAGTAAATCTAGGATCCTGCAGAACTTGTAATTACACCTCTAAGAGTAATGTTATGATGGAAAATGCTTTACTGAATCAAAAATGAGATGGCCCAAGCTTTGCTAGCACTTCATCGGATAAACAGTTCATACAGGAACACGTGTCATCTGGCTAGGAAAAAACCACAAAACTTAGACACAAATTGTCTGTAGTCCCTCATTTTGACTGATGACTCCTCTAAAAGAGTTAGGGATTGAACATAAAGGCAGAAAGGGGGAAAAAACTTGTATTTATTTTCATCTGCCATTTTGGTCATTCAAAAGACAGACCACAAGGAAAGCATCATTTACTTCAGACAAAGAAGTTCCCCTCCTTTTCTGGCACATTTTGAATTCACCCCAAATAATTCCCCTGCCCCCAAAACAGGTGATTTTTCTCATTACACAAAACATCTTTTCAGATTCAAAATAGAGACCCAAACATATGCTTTAAAAGTTCCTTCATGTTAAAAGTGACCACTCTCATTCCTGAAGGATCTGAGCACTTTTCAGTAATCCAGCCATCAATGAGATTCTACCTCTCATGAATGCATCACAGGGTTTCCATCACTATGAAACAAGAACTATAAATCATTTCTAAAAGGAGAGGATACGAATAAAAACACATTTAAATTATGAATCAAATAAGAACTGTACAAAGTTCAAAAAAAGTAAAAGTAAATGAAATAAATTAACACTTGCCCCCTTATTATAATTTTGGATTATTTATAAATTCAGTACTGAAGGCAATCCTCACTAATCAGATTATAGTACCACCAAACTAGGGAGCCCCACTACCACACCAGGCTTACACCTACAAAAGAGCAAAGCTTAAATACAAAGTTACCCACTGTTTTCCAAGCAGAGCAGATCTGTATTCACAGAGCAACAATACAGACCAAATTCAAAGTTAGCCAGGTTTCAGTAAAGTTAAATTCAGTAGATCCTCTTCAAATATTAGACTTGCTGCATTGTTATTAGCAACTATGTGTGAAAGTTTTATTTGCACCAAGACGACAGATTTGTACCTTTTTGTGATGGCTAGAATTTGAGAGAGAAGCTGTAAAGCCTAAAGATAGAAATTGGACCGACTGGGTCAGTCTCTCCTACCTCTGGACAAATTCCTGCCACATTTCTCAAAATGCTTCCCCTTTTTATTTTAAAAAGAAATACACCCTCACCCTCCAGATCAGCTGCATTCAGAAACCTTTTTCTTGAAGCATTTTTCTGATAGGAAATGTCACTTTGATGAAGCCAACATCTTTTGCATTTCTGCAACATTTTTTGCATCTTTAGCCTAACATGACATTTCATATTGTTCACATCTTTTGTTAGTGCCAGAACATGACATGATAGCCTATCATATAAGATATACTAGTCAAAACAGATTATTTTTAAATCCACTGAGGCCAGATGCTACTTTGTGTAGACTGAAACAGCTTATCATCTTGCTTACTAGAAGTCTCCCAGTTGAACACTTGCTCTCCAGCCTTTCTGTGGATGGCAGGGAGATGCCAAGATGATGAACTATTTTGCTGGGGTAAGAAATTGGATCCTGAAAAGTTATCCAGTGTGACTAACCAGCCACTCAGTGATCTTGCTTTTGCTGATGGATTATCTTCTGAAATGTTAAATAAATTATTTAAGGCTACCTTGTCTAAATTCATTAATACCTATGGCTGTTCCTGTCCTCCATTAAGAAGCATTATGGAAGAATGATTTCAAATATATTTTGTATTCTTTTTATTTTAATTTCCAGTTTAGCTGTGTGCACCATTATGATTCTCAGGTAAATGTCTTGGTGAAGGCTGAAATTCAAAAGCTGAAACAGTCTGCCCGGTTGCAGGACCCGACTCTGCAAGTGATGAGAACAATGCAGCCAGATTCTTCTCTGGGAAGCCCTCACCGGTCCCCAGCTCCCATCTGAGCTAGTGTGGAGCTTCTGCTACACAACTGAACATGTGGAGCAGCTCCGCTGACAAACGAATGAATCCATTAGTGCCCTTGATGAGGATTATATGAAGTACCGCCTGGAGTGCCCAGAAAATTCTTTCCAGACATAAGTTCCTGCAATCCACTTTGGAGAAATTAGATAAAAATCTAGGCAAAAATAGGATTCTTATGTCCAAAAATTGACTGCCAGGCACTCAACAATCAGTTCTGCAGGGCTGATAATTCTGTCATTCTTTACGTTTGAATCAGTGAGACTTTCTAGGTCATTTCAGGCAAGCAAAGTAGAGGGCCGCAGCCTGTAAATACACATGTTAGCATTTTCACTGTTGTACAGCATGTAATGTTGGAGCTTATGGAAATAATAACTGCCCATATGAGAAAATATTGGCTCACGTACAGTGTTAATGCATTGTGTACAGTCATCACTGGACCAAGGGAGGTCCTGCAAATACATATACATACACATACACATATATTTCATCAAATAAGGGATGGGATGGTGAATGATGTGCAGCGAAAGCTATTTTGACACCTAACTCATTGGAAACAGTGGTTAAGGAGAATTGACTTACATAATAATTTAATCTTTTAATACTGCTGAGGTCAGTCAAATTTGCAGCCGAAAGCTCTCACTGATATTGAGGTAGTGACTCCTTACACATCACATTTTCGGAGGATTTATGATGGGGGAAAGGGATTCTTGGGTCAAATG